AATATATGAGCTAACTTGTGATCCTACTTTATTGGTTGTACTGATCATGTCCTCTGTATTAGGACATTGGCCTTTGGATGGCCCCTACTCCTTCCATCCCAAAAGACGAGCCTTTCCTATCACATGTTCCCCTTACAATCCCCCGAGGCAATACCACTCTCCATCACCAGCTTATTTCCTTCTTCTTTCAGCCCTTCGTGAACATCTTGTTCTTTCTAAAATAGAAGCAAAACCGTTACCCATATTGAATCCAATCACATATCCAAAGTAGGAATTAAGAATTTTTGACATGAAATTGTTGGTTTTAATTTAGGTCTAATCAGATTTTGAGCTTCACTTGATTGGCTAGTATACATGATCCTTATCTTGTGACTTTAAAGGATTTTACATTGGTAAATCTTTTTGCCACATGAAGCTAGGGAAGCAAGACTAGTGAAGAAAGAATTCGAGGAGATAACAACAGAAGCATTTTCTCCTGCTAGAGCAATACATGGTAAGCTTTTTATTTCATTCTTATATATCTTCTCAACTTATTTAATCCGGTTTCCTTTTTCGTAACTTCCCATGGCATGTTGGTGTTTTGCTTTGAAATGCCTTTAAGCATCTTCTTGCTGTTTGTTATGTACATGATTCAGGAGGAGAGTATGCAAATGGTAATGAAAAAGTCATCAAAAGTGAGCCTGCTGATTCAGAAGACGCACCATCCCTTAATGCAGTAAACTATTCATGTTTGGTGGAGATCGATGGCCGAGATTTTCTGGTAACACCTAGTTAAAATATCATTCGCTCCGTCATTTTGTTGGTGGATTGCAATCTTCTACTATTTGATGTGGTCTTGATAAGAATCGGGTTATTTGAATGAAAAACAAGAAAATAATGCCAAAACGAAAAATACAAATGAAAGTGATCTAGACCCCCCTAATTGAACAGTTAAAGACAATAATTTATATAAAATTAATTACCTTCTTCAATTAATTGAGTAAGAACCATAAAAATCAAGCAAAGAACATATTTTTACCCCTTAAAAGAATCGTTTTTATAAGATAAATACCAAGTAGTGTACATGATAAAAAAAATTCCAGCTAGTGTACTGTAAACTGTAAATAAAAAATCTCTCAATAATATCCATAACAATGTTGTGTCCGAAAAACTTAAAGAACTCTATGTAAGGGCAAATCGTGCACCCCTCTCTAGACATCAGGAGATTTGAATTCTAATTTTATGGAAATAATAAGTAGTAAAATCTAACTAGAAAACTTAAAACTAGGTAAAGTTAAACTAGGAAAACATGTAAAATCAATGTCACACTTCACAAAACTACCTAACAAAATAAGGAAGTGGCAATTCTTGGACCAAACAAATGCAAGCCAAATTTCAGCTCTTTTGAGCATAATTTCCAGACCCTTTGGACGTGTAATTCAAGCCAACTTGGGCTTGCTTTTCAGTTCTTTTTGTGCTCCATATGGGCCCCAATCTTTATCCTCTCGAGCTTGAACTTGGACCATGAAATATTGTGCTTAGCCTACTCTAAGTCACAATTCTTGGGCTCTTTTTCCACGATGAGCATCTTCTTGATTTTCCATGGAAGGCCAGCAACATTGTCTCGCATGTCGCCATCTTCTTAGCTTCCTGAACTTCATTAAGTCCTAATAGAGGTATGCCACCATGGATGCTATCAGTTCTCTATGAATATTTATCCATACTGTCTTGCACACTGCTCGAGTTGATATGTGTCGTGAGTTTACCGCTGAAGACGCATTCATTTTAAGTTTTTAACATTCTTTTCATCAAACTTTTGCATGAAGATGTTAAGAGGGAATAATGTCTTTTCCAGGACACCTTTAAGCTTGACACTATAAACTGTTTTTTTTGAAAATTCTGAACATTGAAGTAAAGTGATGATTACTTTGTAACTCAGATGTTGAAATGAAAAAATACATGTACACCGGATTTGGTAAAACTTTTGTCTTTCTTGCCACTGTAATTTGTTTAAAATAGGCATCTTGAAATTACACACACTGGACACACAATAACTTATTATTCATACTTTGATCAACTATAATTATGTTTCAAGTTTAGCGCCTGTGAAGCAGGACATGCCAATGATGACACTGTTTCTTTAAATCTAAAGTTAATGAATATGTTTTCTTATTGTGGATGTCCTTGAATAATTGTGAGGTATGATTTTCTCGAAATAGAGGAATCAATTGGTTAGTAAGACCTCTCTTTGTTATACTTCTTTTCTTCAAAGCAACTGGCTGATTTCCATCAACTCTTGTGTACGCAAACATTCTGTTAGGTGGAAAATAAGATATTTTGATTCTTTGGTTTATATTCTAAAGAGGAAGATGTCATATAGGAAAAGGAGCACTAGTTTTTTTGTGAAGCAAGACCTGCCATTTACATTGTTTATCGAGAGTTCTGGTCCTTTCATCATCTGGATACATGTTAAGCAGCACTTACATTACATTGCTGGTACTGGATTCCATTTTTTTAATCACCTGACCACCCTGGACATTCTTTTCTCGTGTGATTTCAGGCATGTTGATTTGAGAATCTAGTCTGCTCTATGTTGCAATTAATTGCTTGTACTCGACTGAAATTCTCTTTGTTCCCAGTTTGTATATCCCTTTTTTCTCTTGTTGAATCTAGACCTCCTTTATATCTGTGCAGGAATTACCAGAATCCTGGCGAAAATATTTACTGCAAAAGGCAAAGCTAGGAAGGATGATTATTTATCTCCGAGGACCAGATAAAAGAATCTGGCCTACCCTTTATTATAGCAGATCAGGTTTTAATGTTTTGACATGTGGTTGGAAACAAGTTGCTGCAACTTATGGCCTGAATCCAGGAGATGAATGCCTTTTTCAACTTGTAAATCAGCGGGGATGCATATTTGATGTACGCAAAATCTGAAAGTCGAAAAGTAAGATGCCAAAGAACTACTTGGAGCTGTTTACTTTATATGGAGTTACAAGAGGAATGACAAAGGAGCTATGCCAGTTTCTCATAAATTGTTTTTGAACTACATTTAGTTGTTGCCTGGCTGGGTCATATATGATGGCACTAACTCATGGAATACTTTTTTTAAAATCAATTTCATTTGTATATATATATGTTTGTTTTTGTAATGGAATATGAAATCTTAGAGCACATGTTTCATTTTGTTTGGCATATTACTGAGTTTGATTAATGTATATTGTTTTTTTGATAAAAAACTAATAATTTTATTTAATTATTTTAAAGAATTTAGAAAAAACACATAAGTTTCCTCCTGAACAATCATCGAAATATCAAGGACATATGTTATTCCATTGACGTGATAGAGAAAGTATATTTCATCCTCTTTGAGAGGGTCAAGAGCCAAAAATGAAACTCCCTTTTTATTAATCAATATTTGTTTATTTTTTTTCTTTTTAGATGGCTTAATATAACTTCATAATAAATCTGTAGATTTGTTAACCATGTCTAAGATCTTTTTAAATTTATGTAAGATAAAAAAATAAAATAGGTGTACAATGAATACACATTTACTATGAAAAATATAGCTCTTCGTTGAGGTTACCTAACCAAACTCTTTGGATTGTTCAAAAAATCTTAAAATCTAAAAAATATTTCTAATATGCTAAATGTTTGAAAATCAACGTGTTGTGCTATTGTCAATTTTCTATCAAACTATTTACTTAATGCTTAGAAGAAACTTATCAAGAGTCACTCTGAAGAGACTTGTGTGTAATAACAAGGGACACTTAAGTAAATATTTATTCTTAACTAAGTTATGAATGAAATATCATTGACTTCGAATAGAATAACCCGTTGGAGACATATTGATAACATTTAATGTTTATTATGTGAAGTCCAATGAAAGTTTAGTTATATGTCTTCATATGCATCTTTTCCATGTAAGTTTGGAGAATTGTGTCTACTAACAAGATATCACCTTTAGAATATGAAACGACAAAAAATGTTGTAGTAGATATTAACATATTCTGAAGGAAATAATCAAATTGGTGAATTTTAGAAATTGTTTCCGGCCAAAAGAATATACTATATATGGCTAGGAAAGAACATAAAAAAAAAAATCATAAATGAAGAGCCAAAACACTGATAAAGAATCGATCAATCAAATATTTGAGCAAAAATAATGATAAATTTGATAAAGTATCAACTATCAAGAAAATTTTAAAAAGTAAATTTGTAATAATCTTGAATTGCCAAAAAGAGAATAATATATTTTTTTCATCGAGAATTAAAAGAATATGATATAAGAGGTATGCAGAAATGTGTGTGAACACAGTAAATTTTTCTTTTGAAAATGAGGAGAATGAAAAAAAGGGAGATAGAAAAAGAAAAACATATGTGAACACACAAAACGTTGAAAATTTTATCCCTTAAATAAAGTCTAAAATCTAAAAACGTTACAATTCAAATTTATCTCCATCTGTCATGTTTTACACGTGAAACTCCATTTCAAAACTCTTTCTTAATTATCTACAAAACTCTATCTTAAAACATAGCAAACTAAAATAAATTACATCCCATTAATGTGTGTGAACACACAAATGATTTTTTCTTTTAAAAACGAGAAAATACAGAAAATAAAGACGAAAAAAAATATATATGAACACACAATATTAAAAAATTCAACCCATAAATAAAAGTCTAAAACCTTAAAAAAGTTATAATCCAAATTTAATTCTATTCTCTATGTTTTTATAATGTAAAACTATACTACAATGTTGTGACACGTAATACCCAATTTGCCCTTCTTAGGATTAAAATGTCCGTTACTGTTTGGACTTCTGTTAGTGATTGGATCAAAATTACTCATTTTAGTTAATTAAAGGTTAAATATGTTTAGCCCGTTATTACAGGGACCAAATTTGAAATAAACTTATAACTTAGGGACTAAAACCGTCATTTTTCCTTAGTTTTTTTTTCCTCTCCCGGGTATATATAAGAGAGCACAGTCCATTTCAATTCCTCTCAGTCTGAGAGCATTGAAATTATCGCTCAGAAAAAAAATCATGGCAAACCACTCTGACGAGGCGGCAGCGAATGCAGAGGCGGCGGCGGCGACTGCTCAGCCGACTGTGAACGATCATCTCCTCCAGCAGCAGCCAATGGAGTTGCAGCTGTTTTGGGCAGCTCAGCTTCAAGAGATCAAACAGATAAGAGATTTTAGGGTCCACAGTCTTCCCATTTCCCGAGTCAAGAAGATCATGAAATCGGACAAGGATGTCCATATGATTTCTGCTGAAGCGCCTGTTCTGATTGCTAAGGCATGTGAGCTCTTTATTCAGGAGCTCACCCATCGTTCCTGGCTTAACGCCCAGGAATACCAGCGTCGGACTCTGAAAAAGACCGACTTCATCACGGTGCTTAGGGAGACTGAACTCTTTGATTTCCTTGTGGACGCCATTTCTATGGATGAGACCGAGGAAGAAGTTACTGGTTTTGTGCCTGGCATGCTGGGCAACATACCAAGTCGTATCCCGTACTGTTACTCACCAATGGGACCTCCTGCTCCACCCCGGGGGATCATGGGAAGGCGTGCTATGCCTTGGGTTGCACCCTCAGTGCACGTCCCGCCTCCGTTGTACCCGCGGCAGTCCGGTTGGCATGCTGCTGGCGGTAATCCCTATGCTACTGGAGGGAGCAGTGGACAGGGTAACGGTGATCCTCAGAGGTAACTTTGTCATTTCCTTAATTCACTACTAGGGTTAGAAGAAAATGAATTAATTTGTCAAGTCGAATTGCTTTTTTCCATTTTTGTTAAAGGTGGCAACTTTTTTTTTATTTCTTTCTGAGAAGCGACAAAGGGAACGTTTCCCCATGAGTGGTTTGTCTCCATGGAAAAAAGTTTCCACCCATGGGGTTTTGTAACTGCAATTTTTTTGTTCTTTGTTTTACTTTCACTCTATCAGATAGTAGCTACAAATATTTTTGCATTTTATATGTTTGCCTTCTTGCATTTAGGGAAATCTTAACTAAATTTGAGTAAAGTACTTGTATAATTTTGTGCTTTCTCTCTTTACTTATAAAAATATTTTTTTTCTGCACTCTCTCATTGATGTTGCAACATGGAGATAGGAGTTACAGGTACAGTCTAAACTTTCGTCAATCACCTTTTCTATATATTGCAACAGTGGAGAAAATGATTTGGCATATCTTGATTTTGTGGTAGCTGAATTTAGAGCAATAGATTGATATGCTTTACACATGATTGTTTGTGTTAAAGGTGGTAACTTTTTTTTTTTTAATCACTTTCTGAGAAGCGGCAAAGGGAACGTTTCCCCATGAGTGGTTTGTCTCCATGGAAAAAAAGTTTCCACCCATGGGGTTTGTAACTGCAATTTTTTTGTTCTTTGTTTTACTTTCACTCTATCAGATAGTAGCTACAAACATTTTGCATTTTATATGTTTGCCTTCTTGCATTTAGGGAATTAACTAAATTTGAGTAAAGTACTTGTATAGTTTTGTGCATTCTCTCTCTACTTATAAAAACAATTTTTTTCTGCACTCTCTCATTGATGTTGCAACATGGAGATAGGAGTTACAGGTACAGTCTAAACTTTCATCAATCACCTCTTCTATATATTGCATCAGTGGAGAAAATGATTTGGCATATCTTGATTTTGTGGTATCTGAATTTAGAGCAATAGATTGATATGCTTTACACATGATTGTTTGTGTTAAAGGTGGTAACTTTTTTTTTTTTAATCACTTTCTGAGAAGCGGCAAAGGGAACGTTTCCCCATGAGTGGTTTGTCTCCATGGAAAAAAGTTTCCACCCATGGGGTTTGTAACTGCAATTTTTTTGTTCTTTGTTTTACTTTCACTCTATCAGATAGTAGCTACAAACATTTTTGCATTTTATATGTTTGCCTTCTTGCATTTAGGGAAATCTTAACTAAATTTGAGTAAAGTACTTGTATAATTTTGTGCATTCTCTCTCTACTTATAAAAACAATTTTTTTCTGCACTCTCTCATTGATGTTGCAACATGGAGATAGGAGTTACAGGTACAGTCTAAACTTTCATCAATCACCTCTTCTATATATTGCATCAGTGGAGAAAATGATTTGGCATATCTTGATTTTGTGGTATCTGAATTTAGAGCAATAGATTGATATGCTTTCCACATGATTGCTTGATTTCTCTATACTATAAAGGAGTTCATGATTGATTCTCTTAATCAGATTTTACAAGTTTTCTCAGAGTGGTAACTGTTATTGCCTTATTGGTGTTGATGCTAAGATGGAGCCAAAGCATATGTTTCAATTTTCTTACCGATGCAATAATTATATATGCATGCATGCTTGGGATATGCCATCCATTACCATTACCTATTACCCCGAGAAACAATTGATATCTGATGTTTTTATCGGTGCTGCAATGTACATCAGTAATAATTGTTCATGCTAATGCATATTGAACACATGGCTTGTCGGTGAAGTGGGATTATATTCGTTTCTAACCCCATTGGCTTGAGAGTATGTCTTATAGGAAAGTAAATCCAGAGCAAGTTCGAAGAACTGGGATAGTTAGATTTGGTTAGTTATAACCATTTTTTTCTCCTTTTCTGTCGTTTGCGTGAATGACAAGAAAGAGAAACCAGGACGGCTATGGTACCAGATATTTGGCACTTTGCATGAGCAGTTAGTGCGTCAACACCTTTCTCTTCACGGGAGAAGAAGCTCATCTTTATATTTCCAATATTCGTGCCAGTAGGGTTTTTTCCAGTTGTCTGGTTGGTGTTCATCTTCTGATATGTGTCATGTGCCATGGTTGTGCTCATTACTCTGAAAATTCATGTACGGCATTTTATTATTTGATAGAGAAAATGCATGGGGAAATCTGATATAGATTGTTTATAGTCTAGCTAGTTTATGGTGACTTTGTCGCAATCCTTGTGCTTTCTTTCTTTGATGCTGAACTATCATTGTAATTACCTCTATCCATTGCCCTATTTATTCCAGCCCTCTCATAAATCCCTATTCATTAATCCTCTTGTATTCATGTTATTTCACTCATTTGTGGCATGCCTTGATTTGCGTGATATGATGTTGGCATCTTAGACTTGATAAAAAAATTGTTGGCATCTTAGCTCTTAGGTGACATGATTGCTATGATCAAATATGTAGTATCTAAAAAAAAGTTCTTACTCCACAGTTATCTATTGATGAGCTGTAGTTTCTTGATGTTGTTGTACTTGCGAGACTAAGCAGCTAATTTATCTATTTATTATTTGTTTGCTGTAGTTTCTTAATATGATTCTGTTTGAGGTACAAGACACTAATTTCTCATTCATATGGTTTGATTTATTAGTTGTTTGTACTAATTTTTCTATTTGATCTTGTTGCAGTTAAAGATCATGTTCTCTGTTGATCCAAATGCTCAGTGGCACTGGCACAACGGAAGCTCTTAGTCACTAATGCTGAAGGTCCTGTCAACTATGGATGCTTCTTATTGCTACTGTCTATGGTACTGGCTCAACAGTATGACTTGAATCTTTTAGTCGTTTTCGGTATAAAACTGTCTAGTTTATTTGAATGCTTATGGAGTTGTGGTGTTTAGTGTAATGAACTTATCTTACTTTTCGCATAATAATCGTGTTATGTTACTTTAATCAGTTCTCCGTTGGCCCTTTAGTATTTTGACTGTTGCTCCTTGCTATAGTGGTATGATGGAGCCACCAAGGCGTATTGGTTATAGGATGATTAGTAAGCCTAGTGGGGCAGTTTGGCGTAGTGGTCAATGATGTAGGTGCGGAACTTAGTGACTTGGGTGATTATGATTCCGTCATTTATGCTATCTCAACATAACTAAATTAGCACAATTTTTTTTGCAAAGCTTGGATGGCACAATTAGTCTAATTTGTTAGATTAAAATCTCATTGGCATAGATAAATCACTGAACCATAAACATGAATGCACTCTTATACATACCACCAGCTTCAAACTCAAAACTTTAATGAGTTCTCCTGTTGTTATGCTTAAAAAGAGGAGAGATTTGGGTTATGATCCGTTGTTTGACCCATCTTGATCCAAATAAACTTTGGGCGGGTTGGCTGTTGACCTAATAATTACTTTGACCCATTTAATCCATCTGAATTTGACCCAACCTGCCCATTTGCCACCCCTACAATCATCTGTAATTCTTAATCACGTGTCATGATCTCTATTTGTGGTACATTGTTACATTTTTTTTTTGATGAAAAACACTTATTACATTTTTTAAGAACTGGAGAATGCATTTGTTCCTTCTCTTCCTTACAAGTCTTATCTAATTCTGTCATTTCTTGGTGAATGTAAAGAGATAGTAGCTTTAACATTAAGCAGTGTAGGAGGTTTGGCAAAAGACTATATTTTGCTAGTCATGTGATCACACATATGGGAAAGGATCAGATAAAAACAACAAGTTGTAACTTGAGAATTTTGAGTTCAACTTCTATTTTTTGGACAGTATCTGAGTGAAAAAGTGATTTTCACTCTGAAACAAAACAATGTTCCTTCTAGTTTAGGTTAATCAGATGACACAAGTCAGAGTTCATGTTATTTTCAGCAGAATTGTAGTCTTAGACCTTGTGCAGAAGCATTGAGTAATACAATTCTCTATTCAACAGTAGCAACAACATGGCTAAATCATTTTTATCATTCATTAAAAATTTTCACCAGTTTTTTAGTTATCAACTCAGTTCTAACTTCTTTGTCAGTATGTTGGTTGAAAAGGTTGAGGTAAATATGTAAACTAAGGACTTCATACTTGAAAAAGGAGGAAAAAGAAAAACATTAGAAATAGTATTTTCAAAAAATAGGAAAGGAAGTTAGTAGATGGTGATTTGAATATTAGTATTTGCACATTCACCAAAAAAACAAGAATCAAATTCTTCAGCACTAAATTTCTTTCCTTATTTACTTGCGTTCTTTTTGTAAGAAAGTCAAAGTTAACTAAATCTGAAATAGATTTTAGATATTACGATGAAGTCAGATATGAATTCCTATCTATTCATGGAAGTATAATTACAGTCTAAAATTCAAAAAAATCTCAGGATGTGATATAAAAGACCAAAGAAAATATAAGGAAGAAAATTTAGCAAGGAAAATGAAAGTCGTATATAACCCAATTCTCTGTTCATCAGTAGCAAAACATGGCTAAATCATATATTAGTCATTAAAACTTTACAATTGATTCTTAATCAACATCTCAGAGCTAACTTCATTGTCACTATGTTAGTCGAAAAGGTAGAGGTAAATGAAACCTTAGGAGTTCATTCTTGAAAAAGGAGGAAAACGAAAAACCTCATAAATAATATTTTCCATTTGATATTCCAAAAATAGAAAATGAAGTTAGTAGATGGTGGTAAATGAAACCTAAGGAGTTCATTCTTGAAAAAGGAGGAAAACGAAAAACCTCATAAATAGTATTTTCCATTTGATATTCCAAAAATAGAAAATGAAGTTAGTAGATGGTGGTAAATGAAACCTAAGGAGTTCATTCTTGAAAAAGGAGGAAAACGAAAAACCTCATAAATAATATTTTCCATTTGATATTCCAAAAATAGAAAATGAAGTTAGTAGATGGTGATCTGAATATTAGTATTTGCACCTTCAGCCAAAAACCAAGAATCAAAATCTTCAACACTAATTTTTTTTCCTTATTTACTTGTGTTTTTTTAGTAAGAAAGTCAAAGTTGACTAAATCTGAAATAGATTTTAGATATTATGATGAAGTTCATTATGAAGTTCTATCTATTGAAGGAAGTATTTATAGTCAGAAATTCACAACTTTTCTCAGGATGTAATTTAAAAGATCGAAGAAAATATAAGGCAGAAAATTTAGCAAGGGAAATTACATTTAATGTATATTGCCCAACTTTTTGTTCAGCAGTAGCAAAACATGGCTAAATCATATATCAAGTCATTAAAATTTTACACTAGATTCTTAATCATCAACTAAGTGCTATCTTCTTTGTCACTATGTTGGTTGAAAATATTAAGGTAAATGAAAACTAAGGACTTCGTTCTTGAAAAAGGAGCAAAAAGAAAAACTACATAAATACTCCATCCGTTTTAATTTGTTTGTCTAAATTTCATTTTTAGTTAGTTAAAAAAGACTGTCTCTTTCCTTTATTGGCAATTCTTTAATTCTAACTTTCTACATGACATAAGGGTGTTTTTGATTGGCTATTTTAAGTAGCTTATAAGCTAAAGCTAAGATTCATAACTTGGGAATATCCAACGTTTGATTTTTAGCTTATTTTTGTATTTTTTCAGTCTAAAAGAGAAGTGCTTAAAAGCACTTTCGTCTTTCTCAAACACCTCCAAAAATAAAAAAGAGCTTAAAATCCAAAAGCTACTTGGGTGTTTGGACCGTGGCTTATTTTAAGTAGCTTATAAGCTAAAGCTAAGATTCATAACTTGGGAATATCCAACGTTTGATTTTTAGCTTATTTTTGTATTTTTTCAGTCTAAAAGAGAAGTGCTTAAAAGCACTTTCGTCTTTCTCAAACACCTCCAAAAATAAAAAAGAGCTTAAAATCCAAAAGCTACTTGGGTGTTTGGACCGTGGCTTATTTTAAGTAGCTTTTGGCTTTTAAGCTCTTGTTTATTTTTGGAGGTGTTTGGGAAAGACAAGAAGTGTTTTTAAGCACTTTCTTTTAGGCTGAAAAAGTACAAAAATAAGCCAAAAGTAGGGTATTCCCAACTTATAGCTTTTAGCTTTTAAGCTACTTAAAAAGAGTCAATCCAAACACCCTCATAGTGGTCAATGATGTAGGTGTGGAACTTGGTTACTAGGGTGATGACGATTCCATTAATTTCATCATTTTATGCAATCTCAACATAACTAAATTAGCACAAATCTTATTGCATGGCATAACTACTCTAATTTATTAGGTTAAAATCACATTAACATAGATAAATCACTGAATCATAATCATGGGTGCACTATGATATGTTTAAAAAGAAGGGAAATTTGGGTTATGACCCATCTTGACCCAAATAAACTTTGGGCGGGTTGACTCTTAACCCATAATTTCCTTGACCCATTTTGACCCGATCTGCCTATTTTGCCAGCCCTATTATCATTTGTAATTTATGATCATATGTCATGATCACTGTTTGTGGTACATTATTACATTTGTAATGAATGTAGAATGCATTTGTTCCTTCTCTTCCTTACCAGTCTTATCTGCTTCTGTCATTTCTTAGTGAATGTAAAGAAATAGTAGCTTCAACATTAAGCAGTGTAGGAGGTTTTGCAAAAGACAATATTTTGTTAGTGAGATGATTGCGCAGATGGGAATGGATCAGATAAAGACAAAAAGTTGTAACTAATAGTTCTGAGTCCAACTTTTATTCTTTGGACAATATATGAGTGAACACGTGATTTTTGCTTTGATACAAAACATTATTCCTTCTAGCTTAGGTTAATCAGAAGACACAAATCAAAGTTCATATTGTTTTCTGTAGAATTACAGTAGACCTTTAATATCTGTGTAGAAGCATTGAGTAATACAAATCTCTATTCAATAGTAGCAACAACATGGCTAAATTATACTAGTCATTAAAACTTTACACCAGATTCTTCATCATCAATTCAGTGCCAACTTCATTGTCATTTGATGAAAAAGTTAAGGTAAATATAAACTATGGACTTCATTGTTGAAAAAGGAGGAAAACTAAATGTCGTTAATAGTATGTCAATTTGATATTTAAAAAATAGAAAAGGATGTTAGTAGATCGGGATCTGAATATTAGTATTTGCACCTTCACCAAAAAACCAAAAATCAAAATCTTTCAACACTAATTTTTTTTCCTTATTTACTTGCGTTCTTTTAGTAAGAAAGTCAAAGTTAACTAAATCTGACATAGATTTTAGATGAATATGAATTCCTATCCATTCAAGGAAAGTATATTTATAGTCAGAAACTCAAAATTTTTCTCAGGGTGTGATATAAAGACCGAAGAAAATATAAGGAGGAAAATTATAGTTAACATATATAACTTAACTCTCTGTTCAGCTGTAGCAAAACATGGCTAAATCATATATGTCATTGAAGCCTTACACCAGATTCTTAATCGTCAACTCAGTGCTAACTTCATTGTCTAGTATGTTAGTTAAAAAATTTAAGGTAAATGAAAACTAAGGACTTTATTCTTGAAAAAGGAGGAAAAAGAGAACTTCATAAATAGTAGTTTCAATTTAATATTCCAAAAATAGAAATGAAAGTTAGTAGATGGTGATCTGAATAGTAGTATTTGCACCTTTACGAAAAAATCGTGAATCAAAATCTTTTAACACTAAATATTTTTTGCTTATTTAGTTGCGTTCTTTTGGTCAGAAAGTCAAAGTTATCTAAATCTAAAATAGATTTTAGATATTAAGATGAAGTCAAATATGAATTCCTATCTATTCAAGGATGTACAATTATAGTTAGAAATTCAAAACTTTTCTCAGGATGTTGACAAGACAAAAGAAAATTTAGCAAGGAAAATTACAATTACTGCATATAGCCCAAAATAATATTTTTAAAATTATACTCTCCAAATTTAAGTATTTTAAAAATTAACTATGGTAAGGGTTTGAACTCTACTAACCCCCTCCCCCAACTGTAAAAGGTCTATATAAAGGGCCAAGCCAAACCTGAAAAAAATACTTTACATGCAGAAAAACAATGCCTTTTCTCTTTTTTCTGAAAATTTGTTTTACCAACCAAAATTGCACATTTCTTTAGGGTTCGATCAACACTATGTATAGCTAGAAGCAAAAGAAAGATTTTTTTTTTTTTGGGTGGAAATTCAATGACGACTCACTCTATGCGGTTCACCTTTCCTTCCTTTTGCAGGTAAAACTACTTTTAATCAAATGCTTCCACGTTGTTTCATTCATGGCTTCATTTGGATTGCTGTAACTGTTATCTGCCGTTGTTCTTGTGAGTATGATGATTTATGCTTTGGTATATATTTACATGTTATATATATGCATACGTGTGGATGTATGTGATCATTTATATATAACCTTTTTTTTTCTTTTAAATCTGTGTTGCTAGATGACTATGGAGTTCTAGGAATTTAGTTATCTTGCTTAATTCATCTTGAATACTTTTGGTTTTTAATGCTTTGATTGTGAGATTCTGTTCTAGATTTTGTGGATAATGTTTTTACAAATTAAAAAAGTGCCTTCTTTGAAGTGTCTGATAAGAAATTCTGTAAGGAAGTAGATTTTTAGAATCATAAATTGGTATCTATCAATTATCAATTTAAAATGATTTAATAATGAAGATTTAGGATGTCTCTTTGAGCTGGTTAATTTTACTCTAGTTTCAGACAAAATAATTAATATAGAGAATTTTTTTTTGACAAAGCAATTATACAGAGAATTCATATAGCCAACCCTAACTCATTTGGTTTGAGGCTTTCCCCTTCTCCCCCCCTCAAAAATAGAAATGTTGGGGTTATCTTGTTATAAGGATCTAAGTGTCATGACCCGCCACTTTGTCATACAAGTTAGGCATTAAAATAAGGGGGGAAGAATCTAGAGTCGTGGAGAGGTTTGGAGAAGACTCTAGAACACCCTAGAAGATTTCTTGGAAGTCTTTGGAATTCTTAAGACTTGTAGAGAATTCTCGAAGAGGGACTAACTTGTAAATATGCAAGGACTTGTGTAACAATTTTTATTTACAGTTTAGCCCCTTGAATTGTAGCATAAATAGAGGGGCTCTCATTTGTAAACCAAGCAAGTTGTAAGCAATCTTCCAAAGCAATACAAAGCCTTTTTTTTTTTTTTTTAACTCTCTTGGGTCTTTCTTCGTTCTCTTAGCAATCTAAGTTTGAAAAGGCTTACTTGAGCTTACAAGATCGTGAAAGAGTCGTGAGTAAGTTGTCGAGTGCCGCACAGAGCCTTATAGTTGAAGTATAAGTCCGTGACATAAGGCTCTTTAACATGACACTTTTGTGAAAGTGGTTATGGAGATTTGGCGTAGATGTTAATGCTTTTTGGAGAAGGTGATTGTAGAGATGTATGAGGCCTTTGAGGTGGGTTGGAATGCTTCACTCCCTATCGGTTGTGGGCTATGGAGGATTATTTTAAAGGGATGGGAAGAGTTCAATGAGAATACATCTTTTCGAGTGGGTTAGGGGAGTGTGGTGAGTTTTTGGGATCAGAGATGGTGTGGGAACAATACTTTGAGTCTCACTTTCCCTAACATGTATAGAATTTCTTGCCAAAAAAGGATGTCAATTATCCAATTATGGAGTTAACAAGGGGGAGAAGTGTTGTGGGATATGAGGTTTTGTAAAAACTTACAAGATTGGGAAGTTGGAGAATTTCAAAGCTTGATTGGTTTGCTTCACTAACAAAAAATTATGATGGGTTGGGTTGCTAGGATGCTTGGAAATGGGGGGGGAGGGGGCGGGCAGCGTCTTTTCTGTTTAGGAAAAGAGTAAAACATAGTCTGAAAAGGTCACATACTGACAGTGACACTAGGAGGGACAATCAGTACATTCAGCTATAGATGAGGATGAAACATTTTGTATGATTGATAGATATGCTCAATATGATTAAGAAGACGGCATATTGTGCTTTAAGCTTTGACAACAGTGCTTCTGAATTTAAGTTGTCGATCTCAACATGTAAATGTGGTTCTGTTTGAGATCACAAATTGGCTTCAACATTTTTATCAGTTCCATTAACACCTTTTAAAGGACTGCTAGTTCCTTCTGCAACAGGTTTGCTTGCTGCCATTTTTTTCCCTTCTCAAAAAAGAAATGGCAGCGAGCAAACCTGTAGCAGAAAGAACTAGCATTCCTTTAAAAGGTGTCGATGGAAATGATAATCATGTTGAAGCCAGTTTTTGATCTCAAACAGAACCACATTTCTATGTTGAGATCGACAACTTAAATTTAGAAGCACTGGGTATAAAAAGGAAATCACAATTTCGGCGATCCATTTGGGAGACAGATGTTTGATACTCTGCGTAAACAATCGTGCTCTCCTTTCCTTGCTGGGTTGCTTAATCAGCGAAGTAGGAATTAAAGAGTTTTTGACATGAAATTGCTGGTTTTAATTTATGCCTGTTGAAATTCTCAAGCTTGAGTTTCACTTGATCGGCTAGTAGACATCCTTATCTTGTGACTTTATTGGATTTTACATGGCAAATGTTTTTGCCACATGAAGCTAGGGAAGAAAGACTAGTCAAGAAAGAATTTGAGGAGATAACAACAGAAACATTTGCTCCTGCTACAGCAATACATGGTATGCTAGTGATTTCATTCTTATATAACTTCACAACTTATTTAATCTGGTTTCCTTTTTCATACTGTCCATGGCCATTTGCATTTTGGTGTTGTGCTTTGAACTGCCTTTTAGCATCTTTTTGCTGATTATTATGTACAAGATTCAGGAGGAGAGTATGTGAATGGTAGTGAAAAAGTCATCAAAAGTGAACCTGCTAATTCAGGAGATACACCATCCCCTTTTTTTTTTTTTTTTTGATAACCGAGAAATCCGTTTGTGACCCGCCCTTTGGACCAATCACAGCCTTCTAAACTCGGTGGATAATGGGCCCGCCCCTCTACCCTTCTCCACTTAAATACCTGACTTTGCTTTGCATGGTGTGGGGCTTGAACCTGCGACCATCCCTTAATGCAGTCATCTATTCATGTTTGATGGAGACCGATGGCTGAGATTTCTGGTTACACCTTGTTTAATTATGATTCCCTCTGTCATTGTGGTGGATTGCATTATTGCAATATTCTTACTATTTGATGTGGTCTTGGATAAGAATCAAGTTATTTGAATGAAAAACAAGAAAATAATGCAGAAGCGAAAAATACAAAGATCAAAGACTAGAATCAAAATTCGAGAAATAAATCCCCAAATCTCCCAAGTAATTACTAAAAATCCTAATTGGTTGCAGTAGACCTAATTAGTATGTTACAGCTTTTCATATTTACTATCAGATTCAATTCGAGATCTTAGATGAAAATGATCTAGACCCCCTAATTGAACAATTAAAGACAATTATTTGTTATGATTCTAAGAACCATAAAAATCAAGTAAAGAATATAATCTTACCTCTTAAAAGAATCGTTTTTGTAAGGTTATATGATAAATACCAAGTAGTGTACTTGATTAAAAAAATCCCTGGTAGTGTAACTGTGAAGAGAAGAATCTCTCAATAATATCGATAACAATGTTGTGTCCGAAAAACTAGAAGAACTCTATATACTGTGCACCCCTCTCCTAGACATCATGAGATCCGAATTCTAATTTTATGGAAATAATAAGTAGTAAAACATAACTAGAAAATGTTAAGCTAAGGAAAAGTTAAACTAGGAAAACATTTAAAATTAATGTCACACTTTTCAAAACTACCTAACAAAATAAGGAAGTGGCAATTCTTGGACCAAAAACCGCCAAATTTCAGCTCTTTTGGGCATAATTTCCAGACCTTTTGGGAGTGTAATTCATCCCACTTGGGCTTGCTTTTCAGTTCCTTTTGGGCTCCATATGTGCCTCAATCTATCAATAATAAACACTTGCCCATTTGGTCTCTTCTTCTCGAGCTTGGACTTGCACCATGAAATATGTGTGCTTAAGCACACTTGTAGTCACAATTCTTGGGATCCTCTTCCACGATGAGCATCTTTTTGATTTTCCATTGAGGGTCAGAAACATTGTCTTGCATCTCACCATCTCTTTAACTTCCCAAACTTCATTAAGTCCTAATAGAGGTGTGCCGGTTTGCCACCATGAATGCTATCAGTTCTCTATGAATATTAATCAATACTGGCTTGTAAAGTGTTCGAGTTTATATGTGTCTTGAGTTTACAGCTGAAGATGCATGCATTTTAAAAAAAAAATTCTTTTCATCCAACTTTTGCATTTAATAAGATGTTATAAAGGGAATAATGTCTTTTCCAGGATACCTTTAGACTTAACACTTAAACATGTTTTTGAAAATTCATTAAGATTGAAGTTCAGTGCTGATTACTTTGTAACTCAGATGTTGAAAAGAAAAACTCATGTACACCTGATTAAGATTTAAAAAAAATGGCGGCTCTAATTTGTTAAAATAAGCATCTTGGATTCACACTTGACCCGCAATAACTTATTTTCATACTTGGATCAAATATAACTATGTTACAAGTTTAGTGCCCGTGAAGCAGGAGATTCCAATGATGGCACTGTTTCTTCAAATCTAAAGTTAATGAGTATGTTTTCTTATTGCAGATGTCCTTGAATAATTATGAGGTATGATTTGTTCGAAATAGATGAATCCATTGGTTAGTAAGATCTCTTTGTTATACTTCTTTTCATCAAAGCAACTGGCTGATTTCCATCAACTTTTATGTATGCAAACATTCTGTTAGGTTTCTCTTTGCAAATAAGATATATTGATTCTTTGGTTTATAATCTAAAGAGGACGATGTCATATGGGAAAAGGAGCACTAATTTTTTCGTGAAGCAAGACCTGCATTTGCATTGTTTTTTTGAGTTATAATCCTTTCATCATCTGGACACCATGTGAAGCAGCACTTACATTACATTGCTGGTACTAAGTTACATTTTTTAATCACCTGACCACCCTGGTCGTTCTTTTCTAGAGAGATTTAAGGCATATTGCTTAGTTGGAGAATTTAGTCCGCTCGCTGAGATTCTCTTTGTTTCCCATTTTCTGTATTCCTTATTTCTCTTGTTGAATCTAGACTTCCTTTATATCTGTGCTGATCAGATTTTAATGTTTTGACATCTGGATGGAAACAAGTTACTACTGCTTATGGCCTGAATCCAGGAGATTATTGTCTTTTTCAACTTGTAGATCAGCGGAACCATATACTTTTGATGTACGCAAAATCTGAAAGTCCATAAGTAAGATGCCAAAAGAACTACTTGGAGCTGTTTACAGTGGCCAGAGTAATGAAAAAGGAGCTATATCAGTTCCTCATTAATTGTTTTTGAACACTTAGGATATGATGGCACTAACTCTTGGGATATTCGGTGAATACTTTTTCTTAATCAAGATGATGAATTTGTTTTTTCTAATTCAGTTTTTTTTTTTTTTTTTAATGACAGACTGATTTAATATTTGATTAATTCGAAAATATGAAGTAAAGTCTAGCTATCATCTAGAAACTAATTCTCGTGTATTTGTCGAATCCTTTTGAAACCTATATATGGTCTTCAAAGATCAAAAACAAGTTTATTTTCAGGAGGTGTGCTTTAAATAGATTGCATGTTAATTATGTTATTACAAAAAAAAGTTATTCTACAGATGAAGTTTGTCATGTTTGTGTAATGGAATCTGAGATGTTAGAGCAAATGTTTCATTTGTATGTTATAACATGAAAGTTAATATGCTTAGTTCCTATAGTAGTCTAATCCATTTTAATTCGTAAGATTAGATAACAATGATTCAAATACTTGATAAATGAATAGGTTTTTCACGGAATGTATGATATAAATACTATTTATGAGGATATTTGATATCTCAATCAAGTCTGAATTATTTGTGTTTTCTAAAATAATTAAGTTGATGTGTTAATACTTGGGGTCATCATTAAGGGTGTGTTTGGTATGAACGGAAAATGTTTTCTTGGAAAACAAGTAGATTTTTGACTTATTTTCTCATGTTTGGTTGGTTAGTAGAAAATATTTTCCGGAAAAGTCTTTTAATGTTTGATTTATGAATGAAAAATGTTTTTGAGAAATATCTTTTATTTTTACTAGAGTAGAAAATAATTTTTGAAATTGAAAATATTTTTTAAAAAACAAACTTAATTTTTTTTTTTGGGGGAGGGGTGATAGGGGGCTGGAAGTAGGATTGAGGGTGGGGTAAGAAAATTGAAGTTAAAAACAAGCTTTAAAACTTTTTTTTGCAGGAGGAGGGTGGTTGGGGGCTGGTTTGAGGGTAGGGACAAAATAAATTGATTTAAAAAAAATATATATTATAATTTGAAGTTGGAAGAGAATTTTGGAAAATGTTTTCCTTAAGTTTTGAAGAGTAGTCATTTTCCTTAAATTTTAGGAAAATGAGTTGATTTGGAAACATTTAACCTGACCAAACATGAAAAAATTGAAAAACATTTTCCGGAAAATGTTTTCCTTCCTACCAAACACACCCTAAGTTAGCTAAATTTTCATCATCACTACTTAGTGAAATTTCTTGGTTTGACACCTTCATGTTTGAATTTTTGATGAGGGACATATCTTTGCTATTGAGTATCTTACCACAATTCCAAAGAGGACCTCATGATACTTCCATTACCATCCAAAATGAACTCACTTTTCGTAAGATAAGTTTACCATTCAAGTATTTGGGAGTCTCTTTGAGCACAAAGATAAGTTCATTCGTTTAATGTAAATCTCTGATAGATAAGATGCTAGGGAGGATATAGTCATGGACCATTAATTTTTTTTTCTTATGCTAAAATAATACACTCAATAGAGTCAGTTTTTGTTTTTATTCTAGTATTCTAATCTTAGGTGTTTGTCATGCCAAAGAAATTGATTAAGGTCATAGAAGTTTTTGAGAACAAACAGTGCAATAATTTACAAAAAAACAATTAATTCTATGAGATATATTGTAGTATTATATATCTCAGACCAGGTGAATGTAAGGGCCCGTTTGGCCATGCGATATGATATCATGATATGGAATCATGAGATGAAATTGAAGGTTTGTTTGGACATGCGATATGGAATTTTTGTGTTGTATATTTTCTCATAAACATAAAAAGGTCATAAGTTATAAAACTATTAAAATAGCCCCAATTGTTTATTCAAGCTTATCAAGTAAACAAAAAATTATAAAATCGCATAATAAATTATTACAAAGTTATTTGTTCT